AAGTATTACTCTCACTTTCTTGGTGAGAAATTAGGGTACACAGAAATGAAGTCCAAAACTGTTTGGATCAAAAGTCAAAACTCAGGTTCCAAACAAAGTCAGAATTATCAGATATTCAAATTGAGAAGGTAGGACACAAAAAGATCAAGAAGCTCAGGTGGCCAAACACCTACTTCACTTGGAAACCTTCAGCTATAGAGCCCAGGCTTAAAAGGTGCTTTCAATTCTTGGTCCAACTGATTTGTGTAATTTTGGAGTGTTTGAGTCAGAGTGAGGAAATAAATCTGAATGTCTCAGACTGGTGAATTCTTCTCAATCTCTTTTTTGTATGTTCCCTACAGATCTCCAGCTCCTCATGATTCTCAGCTCAGTCTATCCTCCAAACATGCAGTCAATATGAGAGAGAAAAGGCAAGCCCAGCCTGTGAGAAGAGCAAAGTAAAACTGCAGCATTGTAGAATTTCCTCAGGTGATTGATTTTCTGTCTGTGTTAACAAGACAATATTTAGTGTCATTTATAAGGGACGTATCCACAATATCCAGATCACCACTCCAGGACAAAGAGAGCTACCTAGAAGAACTTTACATGTTAAATTATTTCATGCATATTCATAACCTGATTAAAATCTTAACACTGTAAACATGCAGAGAAACAGTTTTTATTTACTTACACCAGAATCTGACCATGGCACACACACAAAACATGTCAGCATCAGTCAATCCTGCAAACTCACATGTGTGTGATGTATACATGTGTTTACCTGCAGATAAACATTTATTCCCAAGGGAGGCTGCTAATGAGACTGTGCTGTAGGGAAGATATCCAATTACTCTAAATGACAGTCATGTTTTAATCACATCACATGCCCTGAAGAGCTCGAGTTTTGACGAAGCAATCCCCGAAACACTGTCTTTTTAATCAATTCAATATCAAAATATCAGCAATATGCTGTTGACAAGTCATTGGGTTAAATATACTACAGCACACCCAAATTCCAGCTTCCTACCAAGAGACAATGGTGTGGCCTTCTAAAACTTTTCAAACAGATGCACAAAGTTTTCCTTGCAAGAGATACCTAAAAGAGACCATTGTGTATTCTGCTAAGAAACAAAGACATCCCTCAGGCTCACTCTGAGCCACCACTCATGGAATTCTTTTTAGGACAGATGAGAAACATGGTTTTAAGGGCATCACTCCTGTGTAAAAATACCAGCCTTGCTCACAAATCCTTTTACAACTGGCTTATCTTAATAAAAAGAAACCAGTTAAAACAATTTGCTTTCCTCAATCATCCTCTAAGTGTCAAATGCCACTGTGCACGTGGATCAGATGAAAGACTGGCCACATTTACCATGTTTTAGCATTAATCAGGCATCTTAAGATGCTCCAGGTCATAGGAATAAGTACAGAAATTAAGAAAACAGAGATGCAAGACTCAAATTCAATCATTCTTCAAATTAGCACAGGATATTTTCTGTAAACAGAGTACATCCTTATAGTTGTTATATTAAACAATAGACCATTTCTACTTCTGAAACTTTACGTCAAAAATTTCACTTCTAAAAAAAATTCAGTTCTGTATTCACATATATTTCTTAATAAACAAAAACCTAAACGAAAATATAAAGTGAGAATTGATTAAAGCCAAGGTTTCACTGGAAAATATTCCATTGTGCAGTTTCAAATAACAACGTAATGGTCAAATTACAGGATGAGAATTTTCTTCGCCTAGGAAGTAGCAAACCATCTACCTTCCATCAAATCACTTCAGCCCAGTCAAAAGGTGCAAGGCTACATATTTTGAAAACTTAAAATTATTTTTTAAGAAACTGGGAAGAAAGAAAACCAGTTAAGAAACCGGGAAAAACTGTGGGGCAGAACAGAAATCTGTCCTTGCAATTTGTAAGGTGTACTTTGAGAGCTATTTTGCTGAAGGTACTCAACCAATTACCTATTTACCTTCTGAGACAAGTGTGCATTAAGCATATTTTTGACTGCAGCCACTTGTGTTTGGGTTTTGGGTGTTTGTTTTTTGGGGCAGGAGTTTTGTTTAACTCCTGCTTCTCAATTTCAGGCAGCTGTAGTTCTTCTAATAAATCTCTCCTAACTAATCCCTCCTTCAATACCAGTAAATCCTGAGGGCTAAAATGCGCTTCAGCACAGATCTCTCTAAAAGCACAGAAGCTTGAGTTGCTAAATTTCAATGCCTAATCTGGTCTTTAACAGCTAAGTGAACACTTAGCAACTGCCAAGAACACATCGTCTAGAACCGACTCAGTTGTTATCATTATCCTCCCTAAATGCCTGTAGAATTCAACCAAATCAACACACAGCCATCAAAAGTGTGTAATACTTCTCAGGCTGGGTATTTGCACGATGGAAGATATGTTGAATCATAACTATAGGTTTCTGCCTTTGGTGGAAGGATTGAAGTTGGTAATTATGGTAACTGGAGGAAAAAAAATGCCAGTCTTTAGTATAGAAAACATGGTTGTTGTTGCTGTAAAACACATCCTAATTGGCAATACATTCCATTTCAGCAATCATCAACAGGAGTTTCCACACCTCCATTTTTATGGAATGACATTTATTACCAAGCAAGGCTACAACATGGAATATGCACCTTTATTCTTTTGCATTCTATGGTACAAAATATGCCAGTATCTTACTCTGAGTTATATGAATCGTTAGGCTGAAGCTAAAAGACATCTGGGAGGCACAGATGGTTCACAACTGACAAATGGATGTGGAACCATTACCTTCAAGGTCAGCTTTGTAACACCACAAAGGTTGGTAACGGCCCAAAGTCATCAACACCTTATCAGAATGAGCTAATTCTCTTCTGTCCAGTTCCTCCTGGACAAACACCCGTGTCCCAGCTGGCAATCACAACAGGGACGAGCTCAGACCCAGACTCCACTCAGTTATGTTAATGGCATTCCTTTGCAAGGGAGGTGGAAAATGTGCAGCCTTTCCATTCCTAGAAATCTCTTCTGCAGTACAGCTCAGAGAGCTGCTGCCTGGATTCCAGTCCCAGGGCTTCCAAATTCACCAGTAAAAGTTCATTCTTGAAAAGATATTTCACTGAACTCAATGCTCCATAAAAATCCTTGCACTGGCTGTGTATAAAGCCACAGGAAATACCATTTTTAAACCTCTGTAACATAACAGCTTCAAAACATGAATAATTGCCAGTTAAGAAAACAGAGAACTATTGAGTACTATTTCAACAGCAAAAGATTACTTGGGTGTTAAGATTACCTGAATTATAAAGCTATTCTTTTGGGCTACTACAGATTATATTCTTGGAACCATCGCAAGCAAATAAAGTGAAGTTCTTCATGGAACTGAACACCAACCTGAATTTAGAATACTATAGTGCTTAGTGCTTTTAATGAATGCTCTAAATGACCTACTGAAACATCAGAATTATTCCCCAGAATTCCAAGGAGGAAGAGACGAGCTACATGAAAATGTTGGAGGTTCTTCCACAGGCATTTGCCATTCTTGGTGACTCTACCAAAAGCTTTTCCATCAGCTACCCCTCAGTGCATTTCAGAACCACAGCATAAAGAGCAGTGGAAAGTACAGAACCTTTTAGAGAGGAAATAAAGACAGAAGAGAAGCATAACCAAGAAAGGACTACTTCAAATGGGGCATGATTTACATATCATAGTAATAAGCATTACTATGATGGTGATGAGTTACACACACAATCATAGTTAAGAGAAAAGTTCTGATGTAGCATCAGACTCAGGTCTTGGCTCACCCTGTAAATCCATGTATTCCAGAAGGGAGTTCTGTTGAGAGGAACAGGTCTACTTTCAAAGTAAGATGCAACTGAACTGACAGATATCAAAGGTACCTCACAGGATTTTCAGGGTATCAAAGTTTACCCTAAAATGAAGATGATTCCACTTAATGAAACATGTTGCAAATCAAAGGATTAGCATCAATATCCCAGAGAAATGAACACCGAGGGGAAAATCAAGCACCAGTAAATTGGGCAAGTTCTTAATTAACCGTGAGAGGTTCAGAAAGGACTCGCGTCAAAGCATTCAGATTCCCCAGCTGTAAGTCAGCACCACAGCTTAATAGATATATCGCCTGCAGCTGTGACCATCAACCCCCGTGGTTAAGAAAACAAACAAGCAAACAGCAAAATCCGATTTCAGTGATACTTCTGAGAGACCACAAAGACTGAGAAGACTCATCTTTAAGCAATGGACACGCAAACTTACACAGAGCGGAACTTTTCTTTGCTCAAATGCACGCAGAACACAAACTGCCTGAGAGAAAGAAACGGGCACCGCTCTGAAAGGCAAGGGGGAAGCCTGCCTGAAGTACACCCAGCAAAACAGCACGGAACTGCTTTCTCCTAAAAAAGGCAGAGAGCGTTCCTGCAGCGGTAGCTGCACATCAGTCGGCAACCAGATTTCCCTGACTTTCCTCCCCACACCCCAGCGCGCGGATGAGCATTCCCAGAGCCAGCCAGCCACGTTCCATCATCTCCCGTTCAGCCCGAGCTCCTCGCTCGGCTCCAGCCCCAGCGCTGCAGCTCCCCGGTACAGGGTTCCCAAACCAGCTTTTGGGGCGCATTTACCAGCTGAGACATCACAGCGCAAACCACAACCCCCGAACCAAACCCGCAGCACGTTTGGGGGTCGCGGCGTTTTTGGGGTTTTTTTTTGGTTGGTAGCTTTTCGCACGCTTGTCTCCGGCAAAACCTCGAGGGGCGGAGAGGGCTCCCGGCTGCAATATTCCAAACCCCCGCAGCGCGGGGAGGAGAACGGCGGCAGCTGCCCCTCGCTCGGGTATCCCCCGCAGGGTCCGCCTGAGCATCGGAGCCCCCCGGGGCGGCGCTGGTCAGAGGCTGCGGGATGCTGGGGCTGCGGGATGCAGGGGATGCGGGACGGCATCCCAGCCCCACATCCCGCCCCGCTGCGAGGAGGGACGCGGGCACCGCGCGGCACCGGAGCGAAGTTGCTGCGGGTACTCACACGAAGACCCCGAAGAGCAGCACCCGTATGCCGATCTCGATCGCCAGCTCCCGCATGGTGGGTCCCGGCGCGCTCCCGCAGCCCCCGCGGCGCCGCCTCTCATCCCCCGCTCGGCGATGGGGGCACCGGGGCAGCTGTGCCGCCTCACGCTGCCCTCCCGGTGCCCCGAGGGGCCGCGCAGAGCCCGAGGCAGAGCCAGAGGGAGAGGGAGAAGCAGAGGGAGAGCGAGAGCCCCGCCGGGCGCAGCCCCGGCCCCGCCATCCCGCGGCTGCCGCGCTGTGCGGGGCGGGCACTGCCGAGCGCCCGCACCGGGGGAGGGTCCCGGGGACTAACGCCGTGTCCCCCCGTGCGGGGGCCGGGGATCCTGGAATCCTGGGGATTTCCCCTCCCCTCCTCCCTTTCCCCGCCCCCGCGGCGCTGCCGAGCTAGAGCTGGAGCTGGAGCTGGAGCCGCGCCGTCCCGCCCGCCCCTCGGGGCTCCTTTGCGATGCCCTCGGCGGGGGCACTGCGGGCTCCGTCCCCGCCTAACGCCGGGAAGCAGCTCGGTGGGGCGTAGGGAGCGCTTTTCCCTGCCCCGTTCAGCGCAGCGCTCGCCCATCCTTAGCTGGAGAGCCATTAACCCGTGGCCCATCAGTGCCCATCGCCTCCCACGGCACAGCCGGGTTTCAGCCCGGCTCCGGTGGCGGGCTGGGCAGGCGTTCCGCTCTTCATCACGGACTCCTGCTGAAGCCCTGCGCTCAGAAAAGATGGAGAAACAAAAATTAAACGGGGCTGGGGGGAGGGAGCACACCACGCACAGGTAATATCAGGTGTTCACGAAGACTTATCCTGCCGTGCCATGGGTAATTACACACCAGACCACCCGTGCTGGCACCGAGCCCGGCCCATTTACTTTATCTTTGCATAAAAGATTAACAACGTTTGAACGCATTCTACATCATGTATTTCCATAACAGGGGGTCCACCCGTTCAGACATCTGTGCCGTTTTAAACCCTGCTTCTCACTGTTAATGCAGATAACCCAGCATGTCACTCCTGTGTCACTTGGTCAGATTCTGCCCCATATATGATATTATAGCCTAATTATATCAACAGTTCACTGTCCATTCCCAAGGCTGGGTCCAGCTCAGCAAATGGGCAGAGGTTGTAGTTATGACCTCAAATTGCTGTGATGGGAGAAAGGCAGCAAAACAACCATGGCATTAATTTATTCCTGTGTTTCCTCCAATCCATCTTCCCTTCCTCCCAGTGGCAGGCTCTGAACCACCCTAATCCTTGTATTGCCTTAGCCTGCTTTTGCACAGAGTTCATTTAACTTCCTCTGCATGGAGAGACTCGATCCTGAACATCTTTAGTGTAAGAGAGTTTCAGCCTTGAGTTATGAAATGCAGCAAACTAATTCACACTTAAATATATTTCATTATCTTCTTTCTTGGGGCCTTTGAAGGCATGTCCTTCAGGAAAGTGTTCATAGCTATTAATACTGCACATAGTTACAAAACAGCCATCATTGGATTGCAGTGGGGATCCAATTCACTTTACTACATGATTATTGCTAGAGAATTAATGCCAGAGAGGCTTTATTAAACCTATCTGCTTAATATATGCACTATGCATAAAATGGAAGCTTTGAACTCTGAATTAACTACCACGTAGTAAAACTTTTATTGTCTGTGTTTGTGGAAGAAAACAGACACATAAGCTTCCATCTTAACCTCATCTACAGATAAATACACCAGTGCTAGATTTGGTGCAAGGAGTATGACTGAAGCCCAGGAAACACAGATGTGTGACTGGCACTGGAGAGAGCTTTTAAAGTGTTAGTGTTACTGAGATCAGATCTTTCTCCCTTGTATGCCTGATTGCACTAATTTTCAAGACAAAGCTCTGTCAAGTACTTATACTCTGGATTTTATAAAAGGTCGCTCTCTTTCAGGAAATAAAGCTCAATGGTGAAATCTCCATATTAAACTGCTGGTGGTGATAAAGGACATGTCACCTTCCTTTGAGGACACGCAGTTGGTTTGTCTTCTATTGTCAAATATTTGTGCTCCCTCTCCCTTGTGCCCCCAGTGACTCGATGTGTATCTCCATTGCTGCTAGGTGTGCACAAGAATAATCTTTGTTTTCATTAATAGTCCTTCCTCACAGAAACAGCCTCACAACTTGTGTGAATCAAGCCAGGCGTGAAACAAGGAGTTGCAAAGACTATCAGATAATGATGTCAGATAGTGTTTGCTCTCATTGAGCATCTGGGGAAACAGTTACCAGTTCCAGCTCTGGTCACCTTTCATTTTTGTCCTGTAATTGCATATATCTTGTCAACTGTGTTGTCTTAGCCTATGGATCTTAGAATAACAGAGTGGTTTGGCTTGGAAGGACATTAAAGATCCTCTTGTTCCACCCCCTGCTGTGAGCAGGGACACCTTCCACTGCCTGGTTGCTCACAGGATCCTTCAGCTTCTTTGACTTTGCTACAGTGTCTTTCCTATATCCTGCTGAAGAAAAAGGGGATTTTCTCACAGGTTTCTATTAGTGTTTGGAATCACTCAACTGTTACCAGCAGAGCTAATAAACAATGCTGGTTAGAAATTAAACAAAACTTGTCTTGCTGCAGTGTTCTGATTTTCCAATACATATAAACTGATGGGGATTTATGAAGCATAAACACATCAGATTGATTTTTTTCTTTTTTTTTCTTTTTTTTTTGAAACTAGACCCAACTTGCAGCTGTCTGCTGTACAAAACTTGCTTTGACTTTTAAACCAAATACGAGTTAGGGGGATAATTAGCTACATTGTGGCATTGAGCTCCAACCCAGGTGCAGCACAGAATCACTGCACTACAGCAGATTCTTGGAGCAATCACAATGACCCTGAGAACATCCCAATTTCCTGTTCATCCCATCCCTACATCAGGCACAGCAATGCTATTTATTTTCCTAGGTGAGACTGCAAAGAGAACTGATCCCACTCAGGTGGATGAAGCTGTCAAGATGTCTAACTTGGGTTCTTAGTACTTTCCTCTCACAAGGATTAGTTTCTGTCTGAGCCACCTGTAGCCAACTTTTAGTCCACGATGGGATGTTCCCAAGCAGAAAGAGCTGCCCAGCTGATGTGGCTTTTCTGGGGGTTACAGCTTTTTCCCAATGCCACAGGATGTATGCGTGCTTCTCACCTCTCTTGGGGCAAAATCTTGCAGCTCATGGTAAGCTGAGCTTAAGAAACCCTGATTTTTCCATCAAAACAGATAAAATTCATCCTACAGAAAAGCTGTGGAAAATACCAAACTTCAAATGGAAAAATCATTTAGATCTCAAAAGTGTACCTGTTGATTTAAAACATATCAAACTTGAATAATTTCAATTGTGTAATTTTTGTTTCTTTTGCATTTTTTTTTCTCAAAAGAAGAATTTTATATATATGGGCAATTTTCAGAAGTTCAAATTGTCATTGTAAGGGTGTCTCACTGATTCTGAGGTGACATTTTTAACCTTGTGGAACTCTTCCTTTAAGTTGAACTGGTGCAACCAGTTCACATGAGCCAGGGCACAAGAGCCACAGCTTTTTTATTTCTTTCATCCCAAATATTTTTTTTCCAAAATATTGAAGTTCCATAGGCCTCATCTGTCTGTCATTCACTATTTCAGGTTACTTAACCTGAGGCAAAATTCTGAGGAGTGAAGAGAAAAAGAGATCTGTAACACATACAAACCTGTAATTTATTTCTGAGAAAATCTCTGTGTATCTGTATGAGTACCTCATGGGAAACTCCAAAATCTGCATAAGTCAGTCATTTCTTAATTACTAGATCTCAATCCAGAAACAACCAGTCTAATTTTTTTTGTAATTTCTGTGGTAAAAGGCAAATTTACAGAATGCTTTAGCTGGTTATGTGGGAGGTTTGCAGTACACTGGGTGGGTCGAATGCACACAAATACATCAGAATCGTGTTACTTAATGGTGAAAAATGGCCATTATTTTGTGTCATTACCTAATTGCAGTTATTACCAGTAATTACTGTTATTACTAATGAAATTAGGACTCCTTGAGATCTGAAAAATTCCCCAGAAAAGAAAACCAAACGTAGAATTTTTAAATACTGTACGGAGAAATTTGTCTGAAATACCTGAGACGAGCAGGGTGTCTGTGGACCAAACACCCCTTCCCTTACCCTTTAGAACTTTACTGAGGCTTTTTACTGATTAAATGCCCCACTGTTGAAGCCATGAAATCACTGCTTGTTATTATCACCTTGTATATAAAGGGGTGTATCTGAGAGTAGAAAGCTTCTTCATGATGATTCCACTACTGTTGAAGTCAGCAGGACTTTCAGGAGGAACCTTTCAGAAAGCAAGAATTATGCCTTTAGCACATACTAACTTATGCAAATATTCCATAGGATGTACTTCATAGCCTAAAGGTACTGCTGCCTGTAAGTGATACAGAATTTTGTAGGATAAAGGAGGCAGAGCACTGATTCCTTGTAAATCCATGTGGGGAATTTGAAAATGAACCCTGCAACCAGGGAAATGTCTTAATCCAACACGTATATATGAAATAATTTTATGTGTTATAAGAAGGATTCAAGTGATGTTGACTAAAGCTTGACAATTTTCTTAACTTTCATAGTTCTGAAGCACAATCAGGTACACCTTGGCAGCCAACTTTCAGTTTGGACTTATTTAAATACGGATTTGTCACGGGACGTAAAACTTACGTGGGTTCAGATCCCTTGAGATCAAATATTAAGACATGTCTGGATGAACAAAATTTCCAGTTTCACATTGCCTAAGCCTGCAGACAACCAGATGATTAAGCAAAACCAGCTGGCCAAACAATCACTAAAGTCAAACCTGGCACAACATTTCAGTAGCTTTTTATTCTTCAGCAATTACAGTCCACTAAAAACCTACTTACTCCTTCAAATACATAAATGAAGGTTTATTGTAGGACTTCTATTATACTGTCTTTTTTTCTGTCAGTACTTTTTTCTCTTACCTTTAACTGCTTGAGTAATTAAATCTAGATCACAATGGGGAAAACTTCTCCTTTTCCCCATACATTTTTTGATCTGTACTGCACACCCAGAGGCAGTGCACAACCCTTGGCTGTAGATTTAGCACTAGAGTTAATCCAAAGTCATGGTGGGTTTTGTTTAAAAAAAATAACAATATTTGAAACTGAGAACATTTTACTTATTCTGTACCTGTCCACACAGAAACATATGGCAGCTGGGAAGTTCATCATCATTGGATTTGTCTGCTATTCCACATATGCTGCTGATGAGCTCTTTCCTAAGTAGCTGTTGGTGCTCTGATGGACAAAAGAAACCTCAGGGAACAA